GCAAACTTAGTCATTTCCTGAGATAGAAAACCATAAGTCCGCTCTGTTTCTTTTTACATCTGCTGAATTTAGCTAAGTGCATTTTTATAGACTTGGTGATTAATTTTATTTTATCGTGCTTTATAAACGTGAAAAGATGCACGTTATAATCGTATTTTACAATTATTGCATTGAGTAAGTAAACCATTCTTTTATAAGAAAGTCTAAGACGGCCTGCACAAACCCTTCGAGTTTTCGTTCTATGCGGTACTACTATCTCACTTGGTACTATACAGCATCTTCCAACATCTGGACGCAGTACGCTGTGCTACGTGCTGCTACTGCGCAGCACCTGATACTGGGTGCAACTGTCAGCACTTGCGGATAATAAAAATTTAATTAAAATTTGGCGAAAAAGGTTTAGTTGAAGGTCAAAAAATTCAATTTTATGGGGACTCTACCATCGTATTTTGTGAAAGCTTACATGCACACCGTGGAAAAAAAATCCTGAAAACTGCTTGTGTTCAGTTTCTTCAGATATTCCATGCTGCTTGTTCACGTAGTAATATAATTCCGTATCTTCACAAGGAGTTGAGAAAGAATGTTATCTTTTGTCGCGCTTATATACCGCATCAGTCTCTACATCGAACACAATTCGCATCAGGTTTCTCTGTTTTTTTAATGCTTATAATTGGACAGATGTAAGATGCATCTAGGGCAGACTTGCGGTGGAATTTAATTGTCGAAGTTTCAACGTTCAGAATCAGCTTCGAAAATCGAGTCGAATGATATATATTTCAATTTTTTCATTGATTTTCATTTTTTGACGAAAATCTCAGTAGACGCGACAATTCAAAAGAACTTAAAGATAAAATTGAAATATATATCATTCGACTCGATTTTCGAAGCTGATAGAACGAAAAGCCGCATAGAACGAGAACTCGAAGGGTTTGTGCAGGCCGTCTTAGACTTTCTTATAAAAGAATGATTTACTTACTCAATGCACAGTGGTCATTTTTCTACAAAACAGGCGGACATATGGTTTTCTATCTCAGGAAATGACTAAGTTTGCACAGTGTTACTTAAAAATGTCACAAATGTTAATAAAATTGAAAAAAGATCGAACAAAAAAAACCTTTTCTGTTAAAAACTCCCTTGCCCAAAATTTTTGTCAAAAACCTTTTTTATTCTAAAATAATTAGAACACACCTGATTCGATGCAGTTCTTTGCGCTAATTCCAAATATCATGTTAATGTTTTGTATAAATGTTCCTGAGTTGAGAGAAATGCAAAATACCTCAAAAACCAAGGTATTTTTGGAAAACTACTAATTAATTATGGGAAAAGTTATGCATGCAGCATAAACACAGCACACGTTGACAAACATTTTTATTTCCAAAATTATTCCACCCAAAATGAAAATTTTTTATATAAAATTAATCATCTGTAAATGACACATCAAATGCTTGACTTTAACTATTCTTTTGATCGACGAATACCCCCGAATGGTGAACAAGATCATCTTGATTTGTATCAATAAGAATGATTATTTTGTTGCGATTCTCATCAGTAACCAATATATCTCTGGTAGGCGTATATTGAAGATAACATGGACTCATCAGATTGGCTTGATAAATGGTGACCTCAAAGTTTTCTGGTAAGTAAAGAGTGGCATTTTAGGCACAGGAATGATGTGAGTCCCTTTCCTGGCCGATAATGTGTTGTATAGTGGAGGGAAACTATTCAGAGTAATACATATGAGTTTTAGTATGAAATGAATAACGGAAACTGAATCAGCTTGCACAAATACCAAACCGATAAGTAATACAAAAAATAACATCATTAAAGTTCCTAAAACAAAGAGATAAGTGATTCCATTGTGTATTGTTCTCCAAGTTCTCCAAGAGAACAATAGTAATACTATGTTGAGGTTACGAATAAGACTATGTACAACCAATAATGCTTTATTTAGTACTTACAATCGATTTAATTCAAAACGATGATCTTTCTAGTTTGACGTGATAAAATGAAGAGATATAGCAGATGATATAGCGTTCAATTCCAAAATCAATTGTCTTAATTCCAAAACCTTTGTCGCAAATAACAATTTGATATCTATTGATTTTGTATGAAATCAATACTATGTTCGCTCTGTTGAAGTGTTAAAAGAGAGGAAAACATTTCGTGCACTTTTGTGATCTAACACATTTCTTAGTGTAAATTATTATTACCTTCGAAGGATGAAGTTTAAATCACTGAATTGACAGTCTAGAATGGACGAATACTCTATCGACTTGTAACTGACTGGTCTTCAAATATTTTTTTAGTTAATGAGGATGATATTTCTTAGTATTGAACTAAAACCTTAACACATCATCAGTTTTTTTCGAAATATTGATCTTTCGGATCAAATTCAATCGATAAGCAAGACGCATATCAAAAGTCGTGCTATTCTACGAAAATTTCACGAAATATCAATGATACAAACTTGAATAAAATGTTGAACAACATACAAAGGAAAATTTGCATTTGACAAGTGCTGCAGTGTTACCACCGTTACCATATGAGATTGGGTTTTGCAACTGTGCGAGAGGACCAGACATGCATACGCATTTTGTCGAGTTTCCAATTTTATTCGGTATGGAAGGATACAAAAACTTCAAGGTTTTTTCATGCTTTTATCCTTAGATGTATGCTCTACTAGAGAATAAAATGATGATCAAGTCGGGCGAAGCATTTTGGCAAGATTTGCCAGAATTAATGACACGAGATTTGACTACATGGATCAACAGTTGAGTATCTAAGAGTACAACTAAATTCTCGAGCACACCTGGTTATTAAGAAGTTTAGTGCAATTGTGGCTGAAACACCCTTAACTTTGTTTAACATGATTAAGAGTTTATTAATAAAAATATTTATTAAAACACGAATTTTCGATCTATTTATACGGTCATTATCAAGTGAGTATGTCGTACAGACTGTTACAATAAAGTAAAATACAAGACCAAAACGTGCACAAGGATATATATATAGAGAGAGAGAGATCTATCCTTTTCATTTTTCTTTTTTATTTCTCAATTCTCTATTTTGTTGTTGTACTTTTCGCTCTATTTCTTTGTCTATTTTCTGGAATTTCGAACATATATGGCGTGATTTTATTTCTCGTTGTTAACCTGGTTATTTTTGTCCTTAAATTATTAAATCGAAGGAGTACATTAGTTCAATTACCTTTCATTTTAGCTGTATAGTATTTGGCCAGTGGTTTAGTCTTTCGGATATGGTAAAAGCTCAGATTTGGTGGACATTAAAAGCACTAATTTTCGAAATGTGCAACGGATATTCTTCACTTAAGGTTGAAGTACTTGTTTTTAAACCATATTCTTTTTTGTAATATCATTACATTACATTTTTACTATTCCGGCCACGCTATGAATTGGCTTTAACGTCTTTTTAGAACTGATATTGACATAAACGCTCATTTTAACGTGACATAAACATTTTACTGAAAATCCATGTTGACACAGGTAAAGAATGAAGATAATTGAAACACTGTGTATACATAATATGTTTTCGTTTCACTATTATTTCAAGACACAAGACAAACAATAACTCACCGAAAAGAAGAAGAAAGAATGTCAATGCCTTTGAGTCGACGTGTTTTTAATAAATATGATTTGGATCACAATGGCACAATATCGTTGGATGAATTAAAAGTTTTATGTGCTGAACATTGTTCTCAGTTAACTGATCGCGAATTTGAATGGTTAAAAACGTATATAGATAAAGATGGAGACAATGTCATATCATATGACGAATTCGCACAGTTTTGGAAATCAAAAAATCGTTTTGCAAATGCGAAACTGGATGATGGACAAATGATGATAATTGATACAATTATGAAAATATTTCGGGCTTATGACAAGGATAAATCCGGAGAATTAGATAAAAATGAATTTCTTCAATTGATAGACGATTTACTTAAAGCTGGTTTAATACAACGGACACAAAATTTCGAATTTGATGAAATTGATCGATCAAAAAATGGAACAATTAACTTTAATGAGCTTATTGCTTGTTTAATTGAGACTAATGTACTAAATGGATTCGGTATTGAATAGTTCTTCGTTACAACTAACACTCATCTTCGATTCACTAACCCTTGACTGAAAGATCCTGGCGCTAACGAACCCGACATGTACGGTGCGCGAAATTCGCAACTTACAGAAAATTAATTTTATTGTCTTCGGTATGGCTGAATAAAACTACTCGAGTCATCTACTTAAAGCTGATTTTGATGTCCAGAAGTCATTGCGAAAAAGTTGTGATTTTTTGAAAATAGTTCAAAAAAACTAATCGGAAAATATTCGTATTGCTACTTCCGAAAGTTCACAAGTAGTTTTCTCTGGCTCCCCTCGGGAAGTTTAAATAGCTAACTCTGGCTGGCATCTAAGAAACAAATATGCCCTCAAAATTTACCAAAAACGAGCTAGCCAGACAAGCTAGAAGAAGGCAAGATACGCGTTAACACTAAACATTCTAATCAACGTCAACGCACAAATCACTGCCAACCGTTTCGGCAGTTCTTCCTTCATTCTGAACTGCAGAAAGACTTACTCCGAAACCGTCTTCAAAACAACCAATAAACAAACCGCTAACTCGAAAACACAAGATATAGTCCGCCCAAACAAAGCTAATACCAAAAACAAATGACGAAAGATATAGGTGACACAACCACACTAAAATTTCAGTACAACATAAACGCGGCCAATAAGCACCATAGCAACAGTATATGACATTCGAAACTCTCGCAAAAACAACCGCACAAAATCATAAACACCGGTGCTAAACATATACCTACGAAACACGGCACACAAGCCTACTACCAGGTGTCGCACTAAAGCAATCGCCTGCATCATGTTTATAGTCCTTTCCTTCTTCATCAGCAGTGAGAGTTTTCCAAAATCTTCTACACAATTTCATGTATATTTCTTTTTCTTCAAAATTAATTCATGAATCATTAATTAATGAAATCATTCTAGTAAAACTTTGATCATTGTGGTTTCTCACGTATCTTTTCATATGGCACCACATACCCTCTATAGGATTTAATTCACAATGATACTTCGGCCCATATAAAACTTTTACACCATATTCCGAAGCTAACTTTTCTAATTTTGTAACCTACAAAATCAATAGAATTCGGAGAGAAACCTTTTAGATGAAAACAAGAAACTCCTTTAACCTTTCTAATCTGTTTTTCTTACGTTTTTTAAATGCAGGAAGTGTGAGTAAGAGAGATTTCAATTCATCTAGTTTGCAGCCTCCAGGTACACGTATACCACGATCCAATGCAATATTTAAAAGTCCTTTTGACTTAAATTTTCAAATCTCATTAAATCTCATTAAATTTTCAGTAGTAAAATAACAATTTACAGTTTGTTTCACATTTTTGTTGTCAAAGAATTCAGTTGTTGGTACTGCTTGGACTTTTACCAAAGTCAAGAAGACTATACTGTCTTTTGGTGTGTGTTCTCGCGTTATTCACTAAAATCTCAAACGAATGATCCTTGTATTCCTTTTTGAATTGAAGTAATTTAAAAAATCTCTCAAATTGTTCCAAAACTAATGAATTATCCATATACGGATCACCATAATTGCTGCTGATGCTGAATGTTTTTCATATGTAATATCACTATCTTGTAATAATTCTGGATATCTTTTTGTTGCTTCGTTCCATTCTTCTTGATTTAAACGAAAGAAAGGTGATGATAGAAGTAATACTAAACAATCACTTAACATGTGACTACGACCGCGTCCTTTACTGAAGAATGGTGCATTGTCGTCGATAATACATCGATGTGGACTAATCTCACCGCTACGAAAAGTGCTTTCGCCGTGGCCTAGAAATATATCGAAGCACACAAAAGAAATAAACATATCTGGATGAGAATTTTCGAAAAAGCTGCATTAATTCGATATGTTTTCCGGTGGAGATCCTCAAAATACTGAGAGCACCGAAAAGACAAAGGATTTGCGTCACTTTGAGGAAACTTGAGATTTCGTCCTCTTCCTCTCACTGTAACTTTCTGAATTTGATATATTCGAATTCAACATCGAAAACTGAGTCTAATCATGTGCTTTTGAGCCACACAGAACAAAAGCCTCGTGTTACACAATTTCGACCAGAGTAGGCGAGCGACATCATGAACTACTTTTCTCGCAAACCTATCTCCTCCCTGGTTTGAAAACTTTTCTTCCTCAACCGAACACAATCAATTTACAAGAAAAATGAATTAATTTTTTCATCATTATATTCCGGATACTCTTCTCTACTCAGAATAATGCACTTTTTCTCGTCTCGTATCACATCTCGTTAAGGTCATAAAATCATATAGACCTACCCAGTGAAAAAAAACGAGCGTGATTCCGCAAGTTCCTGGGGGAAAAATGAAACATTTTCACGCGGGAAGTGAAAGTCTTCTGCAGGAAAAGAAGCACTTTTCCCGCCGCATTCTGCAGGAATC